CCATCTCTCCCTTAGCATAAATCTCTGGTTTAGTTTTCTATATAAGTTACAGAATTATAGCAATTGTTCATGTGGGGATGGGCCACTAAACTGCTTTTCAGAGCAGGTTAGTATATGATGTAGAACAAACACAGTCCTTGTTTTTTGTGGACCCATTGTAGAAAGACTAGCACTTGACTGTAATTCTTGTTTTATTGAGTTAGAGGATTAGATTACTAGTAAAAAACCTTTCCTGATGCTGTTTTACTGTCTTGTCTGTACCCTCTTTAATGGTGTCTTGCTAAGCTTTACAAATAATTTGATGCTCTTCAGAGGCCACAGTGGTTTTAAGGACTTAGGAGACCTCAGTAACCCTTCAAGTAATGAAATAACTTTTTAAGGAACAGGTCATTCAGACTCCACTTCTATTTATACAACACAGCTTAAAATAGCCATTGTGGTATTCAATGCAAAGAGCCTAAATTTCATAGAGCCTAAATTGTACTGAGGTCTGTAAGTCAAGTATTGCTTTTTAGCTAAGCACTTGGGAGCCAGGCTGGTCAAGGTATTACAGTAGTTCTTAATTCGAGGTATTTTGAGGTACTGCAGCACTTCTTAATTTTACTTACCTGCTTTGTGCCCTCCTTTCCTAAATATGCAAATGAGAAGCCTAGAATTTCTGTTGTTCTATTGTAAGGCACCTGTCATCTCAATATCTAGACACCTGCCTTTCTACTTCACAGAACTATTGTGAGAATGCATTAATTAATGCTTGTAAAATGCTTGGAGATCCTAGGATGGAAAGTGCTAATGAGTTGCAAAATATAATGATGCTGCAGAGTATTCAGTCTCTCCCTCCCTCTTTGTAAGACTTGCATCTTTCCTCCTTCATTGCTTTCATGTTTTAGATGCACATTTTACAATAGAAGGTAAATCTAAACAGGGGGAAAAAAGGATTAAACAAGGCAGAAAGTTGACTAATGCTGCTAGTTTTCTGGTGAGGAAGTTGGTTTTTTTTAAATGTATTTCTTACTGGATTTTCTTTGTCTCACTGATGAACCCCATACTTCAATGGCTTGTTGAGAATTCTCTGAACGTTCAGAAATGTCAAGGGAGAAGTTTTTTCAGATTGCCAAGCCCTTCATTTGCATCCCCTAAATCAATTCTCACACATGATCAAAGCAGTTCTGGAAATACTCAAGTATGGGGAAAACCAGTTCTCTAATTCTTTTTCTCCTAATATATGCAGTCAGGTTCCAAAGCATTAAATATATATATAAGTATATATCTTCATCCACCTAACCTAAAATCACATTAATTCTATGCCTATTTATGTTAAGAGGATTGCAACTATGTGTCTTAGGGACAGCAAGGCTAGAAAAGGTGTAATTGGTCATCTGTGAACGTTCTCAGGCTCGTAAGGGCATTCCTCTAGGATTTTGGTGTGGAGTTTTCTTTTGAAGGACCCAAATATGCCACTTCTGCCTGTTGCCTTATAAGAGTGCTCTGTGCTTTCACAGATCTCATTGTGAAGAAATATTTTTTTATGTTCACCTAGAATTATCTGGTTCTTATTGTCATTATTGTTCATTCTTCCTGCTTTGCATAGAGTGATAAAACCATATCAGAACCAAAAAGAAAAAAACACCTAGAATTTTAATTCAAAAAATACTTTGGGATCCTCCTATTGCTTTCTCTAGTGGGGATGGGAGGAGCTGGAGTGGAGCTGTAATACAGCTCCTCAGGAACTAGTCTGGTTTTGCTTTCATCTAATATTTTGCTTGGCTGTACATGCATCTCTCATGAGCTTAATTAATTTACTGCATAGCCTCTATGGAAATTGGTCCCCTTTCAGAAGTGGTTTCAGGGCAGCTGTGATAAACCAAATGCTCACAGAGGAGATAAAGCCAGCTTCTGAGTTCTAACTTCCCATTAAAAGCACTCATAATCTGGAAACTAACTGGTATGCAGATGTTAATTGAAGTATTGAGATGAAAAATAAGCCACACCCAGTTCTAGCCTCCTTATTTATAGACTGGGCCATTTTCTCAATCCAATTCTCTAGTCTATTTGAAGTTTGGACCCTTTCCCCATAGCTCACCTTTTGCAGAAGGGTCCAAGGTTATGATCTAGAAGTAATGGTGCATATTCTGTGTGTATTCAAACCCACTTATGATCCTGAGCTCTAACAATCAGATCTGCTGTTGGCTTAACTTGAGCATGTCTCACTTCTCTCTATTTTTGGTAGGCACTGGCTTCCTTTAAGTAGCAAGCACAGGCTTTAATTTTTACTTATCACCTTATCTTTTCATTTCTGGCTGCTCAGGTCCCTCCTGACAACTGCAATAAATGTGTCCTCCTGGGTTCCTTGCAAGCTGGGCATTAGTCACACTGTGCATTTCAAGGACATCAGTCCAATGGTTTTTCAGCTGTAACAGAAAACATGTTCTGCCAGGAGCCATTTGTTCCAGTTTTGTTACTTGCTAATAAAATAAAAAGCAGTCGAGTTTTTTTGGAGTCTGAGAAGTAAGTCAGAGTAGGAGGGAGATAGGTGGGAAAAATGAAGGTGCTGAAGTTCTCTGGAAAAAAAAAAAAAGGCATGTGGCATTTCAGAGACAACTGAGAATCTGCCAGCTTGTGAAATGCAGGTACCTCTGGCAAACTGTAGCTATTGAGCAGCAAAGAGGACTGGTGCCTCACAGGTGGCACACTGGGCAATTAAAATCAAATGTAGTTTTCTCAAACAACAGGTATTTGAGAGGATGTTGTATTTGCCATGCTTTTAGAGTCAGTGCCACTGGAACACGAATGATGATACGAATCAGAATGTCATGTTGCTGTCTCCATCTCAGGTGGAGGGCCCATGCTGTCTGTATCCTCAACCACTATATTGCCAGTTCAAACCACTTAGTCATCTAACTAAACAAAATCATCTAACTGATCTTAAAATACAGCCTAAAGAATTATTTGCTTTACTGAATCAGTGCCTTAGTCACAACTGACTCGGAGGAGTTGTGCTTAGAGAGGGAAATGCAACTGATACCGCCTTCTTCCTTGGAAATTTCCCAGTTTCAGCATGAGTGATTCAGCTGATTAATTAATCTGAGCTGGTAGTGTCATTGTGCAATAAGTAAGGCTTACCTGAACATAGCATTTCTTCTCTTAAAAAACTCTCTGCTTCCTAATTTTGCAGAATCAGAGTATTTTAGCCAAGTCCTGATGGCATCACTGAAGTGCTCCTGTGGCTGGTGGCAGGATGCTTCCCCCACTGTCATGCAGCACAAAACCCAAGCTTTGCAGAGCAAACCTTGCTCTTCAAGCTGTCTTTTCTGCCACACCTACCGAACCTAGGTTGTTCTCCAGTTCAAAGGTAATAATAATGTATTTTTGCAGAAAATATTTCAGAGGATGTGTATGTATTTGCATAGCAGCTGGCTGCTAACTTTTGCAAGCCCTCTTTGGCTACTTTTATACTGACATTCAAACTCTGTACATAGTTAAATGAAAATCTAGTATTTGGGCAAGTAGAATTGTGTTGTATCATGCGTTCATCAACAAGCAATCACCTTGTAACTGATGACATCTTGCCTTGCAAATCTTTACTAATGGGGTGGTTTTACACATGAAGTTAGAGACTAGTTTGAAAGTCATACTGACCTGGACAGTCCTACCCTCCATGCAAAAGAAAAATGCATCATGTAGCAAACTGTCAGCTGAAGCTGCGTTGGCAGAATGTAAAGACTCAGCTCTCTGGCAACAGATGGGCTACAGGCTTCTTCTGACATGATCTGCCATCCAGCATATGTCAGACAGGCTGAGAAATCAAGAGGGTTTAGACTGAGGCTTTAGCTCTATTTAAAAAAAGAAAGATGTTTTAGCTCTTGATAGAGCAGGTGACCTAACAGCACATAGTCAATGAAATAAATGTGGACTAACTTGGTTGCACAGGATAGTAGCTGGGGTATTGTTCATTCTATTGCACCACAGTGTATTCTTCTTCAAATTCCCTTTGTCCTCTGCACATACTCATAATAACACATTTGCTTAAGGTACAGCAAGTAAAGACAGTTGGTTTTGAGGATGGAAGAAGCCATTAGTTGGGCAGAACAGCTTGCCTTTGGATATCCAGATGCTGGCTTGCTGCAGAGCAGGTTCTGTCAACTTGCTGAGCCCTCAGTGACTGACCAAGGGCCATGAGTTAGGTTAGTTTCTCACCTTTTGTTGGTTGGTTCCCCCATCTCGAGTTTGGGATAAATGGGTAGTCAGCAGGGAAGGTAACAGCCTTGGGCCTGCCTTGAGAGGGAGGGGGAGGTTTTTCAGGAATACAACAATCTTGGTCTTTAAATTGTGTAGTGTTTTAAAATAAATACCACATGTCTGGGAGCTTGAACGTTCTGGACTTTTTTTATTCCACTGTGGGAGTGCAATGGCTAATAGGTACAAAGCATGGGTATAAAGCATCTAATTTTAAAATAAATTTGTTGCATTTCAGTTGTCAAAACTCTTGATTGTGAGGAGGTATTTTTTCTTTGGTTGAAGCATTTTCTAATAGATGTTTTTGACCAGAGAGTGAGTACCTATTTTCTATTAATGCAGCCTTGGTGCAGCTTAATAATTCCTATGAAACTTCTTGATTTAGATAGTACTTGTGAATTTTTCCAAACAGAGCTGGTAGGCTTGATGGAAGTCATTAAAACTCCTCTGTAAAGGTTTCTCACTGTGCAGTGTTTGTTTTACTTCTGTTCCTCCCTTTGGGCAGGGCTCATGCTGCCTCCCTGGACAGTCACTGTGCAGCCTGTGCTCCAAGGATCACAAGAATCAACGTGGTCAGAGAAGCACAGAATTGTCCTGCTTGGAAAAGACCTTTAAAATCATAAAGCTGACCCACCTCCCTGGTGCCCTAAGGCGTGTTTATGTGTAAGGCAGACACCTCGCTGCACAACTGCAGCTTCACAGCTGTGAAAACAAACCTAGAGATGTATTTATTTCGTGGTGCTTGTTGCTGGCAGGTGCTGGTAGCGATGAGCAAGGCTCGCTCATCCCGCCTGGGCCTCACCCCTGGTGGCTTCGCTGTCCTTGGTGTCAGCGTCGGCTTTAAAAACCCCACCTTTTTGCCGAAAAGATCTGTGAAATAGCTTTATGAAGGCGTGTGACTCTCTTTAAATCACCTGTGAGGCTTCAGCGGGGCCGCAGCAGTAACGGCGGGGGCTGCAGTTCGTGCCAAGAGCCAAACCCCGCACGGATGGCAATGAACCCCCCGAGCCCCGCAGGACCCCCCTCCCGCCGCGCACATGGGCTCTCCCGCCTCCCCCCTCTCCCCGCCCTTGGTTCGCTCCCGCGCCCCCCCCCCCCGGCAGTCCCTGCGACCCCGGCCCC